AGATGGCTGATTCTGGGCAGTGGAGGCACCATAGAAGGTTCCATGTTCGGACAACAGGCTATAGAACCGGTCGCTATGTCGAAGGGTCTTCGTTTGCTGGGCTCCGGAATAGGGAGCTCAGAGCGCAAAGAGAGTGTTGATGTGTACTCAACATCTCCACTGATTCGTTAGCGCCGTCGGGAGCGGCTCCAGAACTGTGCAGCACCTTAGCTCCCGTCGGTCCCGATTGTGTTCATCTCTCTCCATCATCTTTCTATCCTGGAGGCTCCATGGAATATGTCCTGCCATCTCCGCGCAATCCGATTTTGGGTGACGGCCCTGGCTTATTCGCGACAGAAAGCCGCTCGGACCGCGGTCACAAAGCAGCGCCACACCTGGAACAGACAATGAATGACAGTGAACAGCGATGTTCCCTCTGAAGGAGGCGTATGCCACAACAGCCATTGCTGACATCCACGGCTGTCTCCTTCGGGGAACCCGCCGGCATCAAATGCCACTATCCAAGCTCATTGAGGGAAGCCTTGCAAGATGGTATCACTTACCCTAGTCATCGACGCTAATAACAGCACATTGACTCTGCGTATAAGCCCCGGATCAACACTGGAGGACCTTGGATGGGCATTCTTGATCGGTCCGTCTCTGATCGTGGGCTGCCCRAAGTCAACACAAAGACGCCCCTGATCGGCTGTGTTTTCCAAGAAAAGGAAAGATTGCGGATGGTTCAGTACTGCAGAGTTTTACCTGCTGCTATCATCACCAACTCACTTGTACTGGCCAGTATGGGACGCGTTGATCGGTCTGCTAAGAACCAGCGTCGGCTTAGAGGCAACGACCATTGCATGCCTCCTCATGGAAGACACGGCTGTGTCACTCCCATCGCAACGATCAAGGATACGAAGGTCGTCTAACTCAACTCCTTTCTTGTGGGGGACCCTCAAAGCGCGCGTGGATTGGAACATCCGGGCAACAGTCGACACTTGTCAACGAGTCAAGGTCGGGAATGTTTGTGCTGAAGGTCAGAAAAGGGCAAGGGTTAGGGTTGGGGCGGAAGACCATGTTACGTTGCTATCAATCAGAATCAACTTTTTCCAGCCATCGCCGCCCGAGCTCATGCCAATGGAAGTATCTTTTACTGCACGGACGGCGAGACGCAACCAGGTCCTGGAGGCAGCACGCTTAGCATCTTCAGATTTCCCGAGCGGTACAGATCCAGTTCTGATGGGATGCAGAGATGAGAAAGACGGGAGAGCAAGAGACGACGTATAGCGAACGCTAGAAATGCGGGAGAGTATGTGATGAATAGCCTCTGTGGCAAATCCAACCATACTGGGAAAGCAGTCTTTCGACGTGATGGACAGATGGACAGTTGGCTGCTGGAAGACAAAGGCACAAAGCGGCATTGAGATGCGTGGCTAACAATGGAGAATGGCTTTGTGGACATCAGTGGACAAAGCTACCGTGACAATGCGTTGTCTCCTCGCACCAGACCTGCCTTGAGATATATGCACTATGCAGCCCAGTATGCATTTCTCCCCTCATCCAAGCATCGCTTCGTTCGAGCCCACTACAAGAAGACACTGTTGACCAGTTCCTCTTATACTGACTCGTTCGCTTGAATCACTACAACTCATACTACTCCACACAACCGCTTCCGTCCACTCAAACACCCTCATCTACACCCATCAACATGTTCGACACCCGCGGCGAAGTGCAACGCATGGATATGCCCCTAGCATCTTCCAACAACATCATAACCTCCATCAACGCAATTCGCGCTCTAACCTTCGACCCCTCTCTCCGCCAACTCCTTACGGAACTGGAGTACGAGCAAGCCTCGATCGAGGAGCGCATCCACTTCACCAGCAGTCATCTCTACAACCACATCCTCGCTCGCATGGACTTGGCTCGAAATCGTCGCACCCATCACGAACTCGTCGGTGTTGCCGAGGTCGAACGAATGGGCTGGACCAACGATTCCCGATGTCCTCTCGTAGACATTGCTTGTAGCGAGCGTGCCGCGGATGGGTACCGGGTTGGTCTTCCAAGAATTGGGGGTCCGAGTGATGCTCCTACTCTCACTTCTCTCTTTTCCGAGCCGGATTGGTCGCCGACGGAGGTGGTCGACTGCCAGTGTGGCGATCTGAAGTGTCAGACCTGTCGGCCGATATGCCCAGGCACTAAGCGCAGCGTTCCGGAATCCTCTGCTAAGCGTTGGTCACGGCGGTTCGGGCTTTCTCATTGTGCACAAGCTGTATAGGCGGGAAACCGTTTGAGCAAACGTGGCGGCTCCTTCGTGGGGCTGTTGGTAAACAGTAAGTAAGCAAACATTCAATCATACATAAGAGATACATGATCTCTTCTTTCTACCACATCATCTCTTCATCTTTCTCACATCTTCACTTGTCTCTTATACTATGTATTTTGTCTTTGAAAGCGTTTGATCTCCACGCAGTCCCATCTACATTATATACACTTTGACAACCACGCTATAGCAATCGACCCATCCAACCATTTTCCAGGACAACTCCTCTCATCAAGTCTGTTCCCGGAGGATGAAGAATCAGATGCGCTGATCTTTGGCTCTATCCCCGCAAGGACCAACAATGATCCGTTGCCCCAGAGCAGGAGCAGGAGCAGAAGTGCTAGGAGAGCAGTCCAGCGATCAACCCAACGAAGCAGACTCCACTAAGGTTATCATCAGCGACGATGACACGGATCAGATGAGCCCACAGGTCTACTTCATCCTTGACTTGCGAATGGATTGCACCTAGCTTCAAAGTCCTCGCCCAGATCTCACCGCCACTATCACAAAATACTTTTCTTCCCCCTTCTCAGCGCACAGTATATCCACCAAATACAACGGCGCATCATGAGGCTGTAATGGAGCTACACCGCGTTTCAAGCGTGCAGAGAAAGCTGCATCCAATCTCTCTTTCGGAAGCTGGCGATCTTTCTCACCAACGATTCCGGATGACAAAGTGCTGCGATTTCGCCTTCGTTGCCCACAGGAGCACCCTCACCCATCCCATTGCAAATTCCATCCGACCGGCACCGCCTCATTCAACATCRATTCCCCCACGGTTGCCGTCACTAGACGCGAATGCTCTCTCTCCTCAATCAACCCAGATACAGATCCTCCCCCAGCCAGCGTTCTGCCTCGTACGTGTTAGGAACGACTGATCGGCATAAAGAGCCACAGCATGCTCCCACAGGGAACAGGCACTGGCGGTCTCAACTTCTTTGCTTACACCGACGCTTCCCAGGCAGAGGATCCCGACAATCGAAGGTCCGCCGGAGGAATCCTGTTCAAGTTTGCGAGAGCGCCGATATTGTACGACTCCGGCCAACATGTTGCCGTTGCTTTCCTTTCTCCGGAGGCGGAGTACGTTCAACTCACCCTCGTGGCGAAAAAGGCCTTGTACCTCTCCTCTTTCCTCTCCAACATCAGATGTATCACTTGAGATTTGTTGGTGACTCATCACGTGTCATCATGCTTAGCCATGGCTTCCCACGATATCACGTTGTTCGTCGGATTTTCTTCTTTCTTCTTTACACGTTGTATCAACCCGATTTTACTTCAAGGTTTTACCTTCAGTGTATCGGCCGCATCCAGCCTGTTACCCTTTGGAAGTACAACCATCCCGCGATCGATCGCCTCCTCGAGTGGTAGGACGAAGCACATCGTCCTTCGCTCTCGGTCGACTCAACGGGAGATTGCAAGCGTCAATCTGATCAGCAGAAAGGCCCTCCCTTGCCGGAGCCGGCGCCACGGAAGGTCAGCAAGCATCAGACGAAGACAGCGCAGAACCAGAGATCGCCTGCGCGCAAGATTTTGCCTGCTGGGAAACAAGTCACATCTCATTGGCGACGCCGCCAGAACTCTTACTCATTGGACAGTGATCGAACWTAATCAGCGAGCCAAGGAACGCGGGCTGGGCGAAAGAAGTCTGTTTCGCAGCTGGAGAGGTTCATTCAGCTCGTAGCGGCTTTGCTACCTATCCTCGAAACGGATACTGGCTGAGGAGGATCGAGTCGAAGGTGCGCAAGGCTGGAAGCCGGATTCTACTTTATTACGCTGGTAAGGAAGATTCAACTCTTTTGACGATGTTCATGATGATACTGACTGCCTCCCAGGTATATGAACCAAACATATCCTTTCCTGGTCACGACTTGCAGAGCCGAGGACTATGCTGCTCCGACCAGCAATAGCTATACACGTGGCGTTCCCGCTCCCGAGCTTGCTTTGACATTACAAAGAGTCAGCCCGATTCAACAAACAAATGACAGCTTTGTCCGCGAGCCGCACCATCTCAAGATTTCCGGAGCGATGTGGCCTACTCGCAGTGGGAGAAGTTGTGCCAGGAGAAGCGGAGGCTCATCAACAATTCAAACAGAGGATAACAGTTCAGCACGATGCCCTGCATGCTATCCTATAGGGACTTCCGCCACTTGCTATTCACGATGCCGAGGTTTCCTACATTGGCTTCTGCTGCGCGGCCCGTCTTCCTCATTCGGRGCGTTAGGTCTTTGGATTCGACTATGGTGAGAGGAATAGCATTCTTGATCTCGATGATGGAGCAAGCATTCAGCTTGTAACATAGACCCGAATTTCTGTCGGTTTTGGTCTAGGTAATAGCCGCAGTCCATGGTCGCAATTATCATAGTAACTACCATTAGTAACTGAATCTCAAAGTCGTCACACGACTGTGTGTGTCTTAGATAGAAGTAACAGTTCTCCTCTCGGTAACCGCTTCGATCCTCTTGCTGAGGAACACCGCATAGTGATAGCTCATAAAGCCTGGAATCGTATACTCGCATATGCATGTCGAAGGATTGGCCGCCGCCGTCTCTGTAAGACACCGATTGCCCATGGTGGTATGCCGTAGAAGCACCCGGCATATTCTCAGAACATGTCACAACCTTAGCAAGCTGCCTACTTCCTTCTCTCAAGTGCTTGTAAGTAGACGCTGCACTCGTATCTCTTCTCCTCATCACAAATCATGCAGCCCCCAAGCGATACCACCCTGCCCATCCGACCAGTACCATCCAACGACCTCCCAGAATCCTGGATCCGCGGCGTCATCATCCACCCTCAAACGAACCCACAACCCCTTGACAAAAACATTTTCATCCCATGCCCAGTCCCATGCGGCAACCTAACATCCAGATCCCTCGACCTTTCCCCAACAACACAAGCCCAGCTAAATCCCGCCTGGATGCCCTCCCCACTCTCTCATCGTCTGGGATTCCCAGTCAAACTGGCCCTGATCAATGGTCCGGAAATCTACAACTCACAAGCACGCCTCTTCCTCGTCTACTCCAAGAAAGCCAGCCAGCGATTCGGATATCACACTCATATCCCCTTGACTGGCCCTGTGTTGTTTGTGAGAGAAGATGGACTGCCTTTGAGTATTCAGCAGCTTGCTCCTGGGCTTTTTTATATCAATGATGTGGTTGCTCCGATTGCTCGAGAACTTGTAACTAACAAAGAAAGCGGGGAGGTGGCAGGGATGAAGGATTTACTTGCTGAAAAGATCTGCGCTGAGGAATGCTACAAGTTCTGTGAGGAGTGGGTGGAAGATAGGAAGGATAAGCTGAGCTTTGAGGGGCTTGTTAATGCTATGCAGATTCCGTTGATGCCCGCGATGCAACTCAAGGTGTTGGAGTTGGATGAAATTGTTGAAGGTTATCCGCGGGAGACTTGAACAGGTCGGCAGAAGGCAAGCCTTCTCCCTTCGCTCTGTCTTGCCCGGTATAGCTTAGCTAGATGAAGCAGAAAGCAGCTCCTGACGCACACAAATTCTTTGACTCGTAGGATGGCCGGATACTCGCGATGGAGCCTGTGAAATGCTGCCTTGCTCCGGAAAGCTGAGGAGACGCTCGCAGAGAAGCTTCTGTAGAGGTCGTTAATGGCATACGCAGACTCAAAGAGTCGCGTCGTGCACCGTGTCGTTCATCTTTCCGATCTGCCTCCCGAGCCTCCCATACTCTGCCTAGGAAGGGGGTATGTTCGAACGAAATGTCCTCTGTGCCCTTGCCTCGCTCGCTGCCCGCAGTTATTCTTTGCGATCCGTTTGATTTGTGTGGGAAATGTCCATCTCCATTCTCGATCGTATGATGCTCTTTGTTCAGGGAATCCATCTCGCGACCATTGCAGCCGTTTGTTTCGTTTGTCAAACCAGTTCCAAAGTCTCTGGTTCCTTTGATTGACCAAAGAAATAAACTGTGGTTTTTTGCTCAATATCTCAGAAAGAGGCGACGGGTGTGGCGATCCTCGCCTTCTACGGGACTTGAGGCTGTGAACATCACAAAAGACTGAATCCTCCGCGTACGGTGTCACCACTGTCATCGGGGCACATATATACCAAAAGGCGACTTGAGATGATTCTACGTGAACTGCTCTTCGATCAGTGTATACCCTGTTTTACATCACACTTACTACCCCTGAACATGGTATGAAAGTACATTGCCGAACTCCGCCAGTTGGACTCGCCAAGAAAGACACTTGAGGGAGCACGAATGCGCGTTCTGGATCTCATTCTGACGTAAAGTGGGGTCTGCATTGAGAAGCTTGTGGGCCTTGAAATTGCATAACTTTTCCTTTGCTGAAAACCACCAACAGCCTCGAAACATCACCGAACACCCACACACGCGCATAACCTCAAAACATTGCCCAACACCACAGATCATTCGCGACATCACAATCATCTTCAATACCACCAATATGTCGTCCGCCACCATCAGCTGCATCTCGCGCGTCGCTGGCCCGACTTCTAGTGTCACCGCCATTTCCGAGGTCATGAATCTGCACCAGAAGATCGAGGTCACCACCGCCGACTTCAACGACGCCAGCCAGTGGGAACTGTCACTCCTGTCCGTGAAGATCGGCTTCGGCCTCAAGATCAAGGTCATCGCCACCAACCCTCCCTCTACCACCGAGAACGACCGCGTGTCGCTGCTCTTCCTCGACCAGGCGACACTTGTTCCAACACGTAGAGTGTACGGCGACGTGATCATCGCGCGCTGCGATGGCAAGCCTCTCCACTTCTTCCACGCGTGGTTCGTACTCGAACAGCTCGACGCCATGCGCGTTCAGGGTGGAAGCGCGCTCTTCAAGGCGAACATGACCGGCAATGTCCACGTACACCACCGCGCACGTGAGGCCGTTGCCAGCATGTTCGCGCCCAAGTTCTTCGTCGCAACYTTTAAGACCGCCAAGGAGAGATTGCTCATGCCCTCCCCCCAAGCCGATGCTTCGCTCGAGAACCCCTGGATCAATATTGTCAAGGCTTGTGGAACTTGTGGCGTGGCGCAGGTTGCTGGCGGTGGCCCTCTGCTGAAGTGCTCTCGGTGCAACTCTGCTTGGTACTGCTCGACGGAATGTCAGAAGGAGGCGTGGAAGGGCCACAAGGCCGAGTGCACCAAGGAGATGAAGGCTGAAAAGGCGATTGCTGGTATGCAGGAGAAGGTCCGCAAGTAAGTCCATGGGGCTCAGGACTGGGGAGGTTTGTGAGGAGAGTGGTTCTAGTGTCTGATTTTGACATCCAACTCTTGGGACGAACTAAAATGCGGGTGTTTGGGCAGGTTCAGCGCGTAAAGCAACATGAATGAAGGAGTCTAGTAATACGAAAACCGCTCCATCTATACTTCTTCTTCGTCGCTTCCGTGTCAGTGATATTCCCGGCTTCCTCCGAGCCTTTCTAAGCGGCTTCAAGCTAACTGTGGGGGTGTTTGTCGAGAGCAAGACTTAACGGTACAAGGATCGTTATGTGACGTGATGGAGAACTGACCAGGGGAGTCGCTGTGAATGCATACCAGGGGCAAGATGGAATGTGAGTTCTTCTCTCTGGTCACCTTGCCGAACAGACTTGATGTGATTGGTTTAAAGGGCGAGACAGACCAGTGCTTCGCTGATGGAAACCGTCGTCAATACAGGTTTCCGCCCTGAGGCCTGAGGAGGCATACAGATGTTGAAAGTGACATCGTAACATCCGTCAGAACATTTCAGAAGTATCCCGCCGTCTTTGGTTGGATCATGACACATACTCTATCCAAATCCCTGGAAACGCCGGGCAAATAGGTCATCCAGGCGCATGTTAGCTCGTCCCAATCGCTCGGGGATCAATGTCAAGCCAGTTTCCACGTTTCGTTTTCTTTCAAGTGTTTCTTTCTCTATGTAAGGCATGATGGGAAAGCAATTGCCTGGCTGCAGTACACTCCCAAGCCCGGGATGTTCAGAGAATGCGTTTGATCTCTAACCCATAGCTGGATCTGCCAATTGAGGCTTGTTCGTACCTCCTTCTCTGGATATTGCCTTGCCGCCTACGTTCATCCTTCCTAGCGGTTGAAACGCTTAGCTTGCCTCTCGAAGACTTCGTAGTAAGGTACATAGGTACATGGGTTGGGTGGGTCTTTCCTTGCGCATATACGGAAGGAATCACGGAACTACGGGAAAGAAAGAAGCGTTTGGAACTATGCGGCAGGACCCTGCCCGTTCATGCTCCGCGGGCGAAGCCGAGATGTAGGCAGGGAAATTTTGCCTCATCCAGCGCGAGCGGAAACCATCAGAATGTCCACGATCTCCACCTCCGTACGCACGAATATCCGGGCGCCAACACCTTCTCACATCGAATTTGCAACCTTCCCGAGCACCCACATCCAGCAGCTTCACTAGCACGACTTTCCGACCATGGGACAAGCACAAGCGACGAACCCGCTACAACTCCGTCCTATCAATGCAATACTCGTCACAGCCGGGCCGCAGGACAAGGCGGAGCTGAGCAAGATAGTGCTCCCGTCGCAGGTGCTTGGAAACCTCACCTGGCTGTCGGCAGCCTCTGTATCGCCGTCGGGATTGGTTGTCAAGATGGCTCAACATCCTCGAGATACAGCTTCAAAGATCGAAAACGAGTTCATCCACACCCTCCAGCTGGATACAAATGACCACAGCGTTTCATTTGGACAACCAGCCTTGGTGTCTCGGTCCCACCGCCCCTTCCTGGGTAATTGGTTCGTATGCTACGCAGATATCGGCTCGGGTGATCTGAGTCCTGTTGAGCTCCGAAAATTCCACGACATTCAACTTCGCTTGGCTTCGCGAAACAATCTTCAATGTGTGCTGGTGCTCCCTGGACCCGTACATGATGCGAAAGCCCATCTCTTACCCTTCAACATTGATATGGGAGACCCCGCAATGCAGAGCGGGTGGACCGACTCTACTATCACCTCTAAATACGGCATGGGTCTGGAAGTGAGATCGGCGTCTGCGAGCGAATTCGACCAAGAGAATCAATGGATTCGCCTTCTATTCATGGACCACAACAACTTGAACACCTTTGGATTTCGACCATTGACAACGAGGTTCGGCAAGCTCATCGTTGCCAGGATTGGTCACCGGCCCCTCACTTGTCTACACGCTCATTTCATGACCACTTCTCTGAAATCTGCTTTCGAGGCAGGCAGGGAGTTGATCGACACCAACTTGTTCCATGGCATCCACATCAGCATTTAGGAAATCAAAAAGAGATTCTTCGATGCCAATAAGCTATGGGCGACTTTCGAGCATCAGCGAAACATCAAAATCGCGGCGGAAATCGCGGAAGATGCTGACATGTGGAACCCCTTCCAGCGGCAGTGTTCGTTCTGCCTGCGGATAGCGAACCCACCGAACCAGCATGGCGTCGTGTGCAATGAATGTAACGTGTGTTACTATTGCTCGGATGCCTGTCGAGACGCGGATTGGTCGTTTCACAGCGTGTGGGTTTGCAACGAGATAGCAGGATGAATCCCCAAGCCTTAGGTCTCGGAGGCTTGCTTTGTGAGGCAGCATGAGAGGTCGTACCATCCCATACTTACGATCATTCTCAGTTCGATAGAGGGTCAGGCTGATACGCTTGAATGGTTGAATTCATATCCAATTTCAACACATTCATTATATATTCCTCGACACGTGCTCTGCGAATGGAATCAACCGCTGCCTCAAGTCACGCGACCCAACGTCACCTCGACGTCGATGTGGCCGTTTCTTCGGATCAGCTTCTCGCATCCATCCCCTGGCTCGTCCACTCTGGTCGAATACCAAGTTATTCTCATTCCGACGAGAATACATGAGCATATTAGGACCGCATCCTGTCCGTCCTACATCCATATTCCCTAGTGTTGGCGCACAAGTATGGACGCCAATGTCATGATATCTGTCTGGTGACGCTCGATGTTGTCCGCACCGAACCTCCGGGAAACCTCCAATCTCTCTTCGAGCCTCCCGTGCGTCAACAAGGAGCATAGCCGCTTGCCGTGCTCTGAGACCTGGATTGCGATGACGAGCGTGTATTCCCCTGCATACTCTAGGAACTACATTATCCGAAATGAGCTGTGGTTGATATCGGGATCTCTCGTAGAAATCATCCACTAAATGTAGTTGTTTATCCCATTCTGATAGTCCTATCATATCTACCATTTCTGATCTTATTAGTTCTGCTTGTTGAAGTCCAGTTGAGCCGAGTTCGTGGAGAATTAGCCAGGCTGCTGCTTGGCATTGTATGAACTTTGTTTCTGCCGAGAAGGTTTGGCGATGGGGAGGCATGGGTTGATTTACCGGGAGAAGGGGAGATTTGTAGGAGGGGCTGTGGTTTTGAGGTGGTTTGCTGGAGGGATTCGAGGTTGGATCGGGAGGAGGATTGGTGTTTCAGGGGGTTCAAGTGGTTGGTTTGGGGTGTTGATAGTACTGGGATTGAGAAATGGGAGAACAGGCGGAGTGGGTGTAGCAAATCGACTAGTCGTCGCAAGGCCGAGCTCACGCGTCGGACTCGGGAGGTGTGGTGCTAGATGCATTGGTCAATACTACAAGACAGGGACAGACGTCTATGCGCTACTAACACCTTGTGACTTGGCGAAGGGGTAGTATCGCCTTTACATCTACAAACCGAATCTTTGATGCAAAATTGTTGGCGTAGAAGAGCATACGTGTCTTCATTATAGAATCAACATCAATTTCTAGTGGCAGAACGGGTGCTACCTCTGTGTATTTACTGCCCGTTAGTGAGCTTGCTGGTATAGTTACCGGTGCGAAATGAGGCTGTACTATACTAACTAACTGCCTCTTAAGTGAATACTAACTGCACTAGTTGGTTACTAGTTAATTAGCATATAATATTGGACTCAATTTTGTGTTTATAGCTCTTCTTTAGGTTGTTGTTCCTTCTTGCTAGCTGCTTAACTAATTATCTACTCTCTCTTAATCTTATCCTTATTATTAAACAACTTATTGCCCTTCTCTTTACATAGTAGACTATACTAGCTTCTTAAACAGGCGTAGGCTTCGATAATGTCGCTAAGGAGGTTAGAGCGGCGGTAGGTAATTATGTCCCTACCTGCTAAGAAGGAACGCTCTAGCTTATCTAATTAAAGGGGGATTGCGAGTGTGTTAAAGGCAAACCGTGCGAGCTCTGGCTCTGAATAACGTCGATTAAACTACTACTAAAGGATATTAAGAGGCTGCTATAGCGTGTCTTATATGTAGTCGATAGAGGTGTAGTTTTCGAATGCGTTAGAGCGAATGAATAGAGTCGTTTTACGCCGCTTAAAGGTGGTAAGGCGTTCGTGGAGGTTATCGTTATCGTCGATTAGCGGAGGTGTAGTTTATAAGGTTGCTATAGGCCTGTAGTTAATAATCTACAGGTCCTTCACTAGCTTCTTAACCTATATAATATAGCCCTATTACTTATTATTACCGTTACCCTATAGGTCCTTAAACCAGCTAAACTTAAGTGTTGGATTAAGGACAATAGTAGCGTAAAGCATTAGTATTTCGTTACAGAGCTCCTAGTACTTCTTCGCCTTTTGCCATGCGTGCTTATAGCAGCCTAAGAGGTATTTAAACCGTATATCCAGCTCTACATCCTCCTTAAAAGTAGCTAAATATTTCGAGCAATAATCGAGCGTAAAGTTGATAGTAGGGTACTAGGCGTAGAGGTGTTGTTTGTTGCCTTAAGTGGTTATTGTCGTCGCCWCGAATAGCTAGAGTACGTTATGTAGTTTGTCAATTTAATGCTAATCATTCGCATTTAGCATGTTCTCTTTAATGCCCTTCTTAGCCCTATAGAGCCTATAAAACTCGACGATACGCTCCTTAATAGTTAGGGCTCGGCCTAGCATGTAGTAGAATAAGTTCTACCGCGTAGAGTTGTCTTAGATAAGCTGTACGTGTTTGTAATTAGCATAGTTAGTAGATGAAGTAAGGACGACTTTACACCGGAAATACCGGAGTTACTAGCGGAGCCACCTCCGGAATAGTATAGCTCCACTTATTAGACTTACCTTTAGACTATTAAAGTTCTTTAACACGCCCTTAACGTCTACATTACCTATAACAATGTTCGCAAACGCTTCTAGCCTCTACGGAGAGGCACGAATGTACTTAATAATATTATGTAGCCTACTAACCGCTCCACGTGTCCGCTAAAACGCCGCCACCTTATTAAATGCGCCCTTCTCGGTTTAGAGCTCTAGTTCCTTTATCGCTTTGTTACTACCCTTGCCTAGTAACATAGCCTTCGTAATTAGGTTAGTAATATAGCTAAGGCACCTAAGCCTCCGTGCCTTACGCCATTTTAGAGGCATCTTTAGATATAGCGTCTTTAGAATAACCTTAATTACAGTGTCGTTGTTAGAGCTATTATCCGCTATAAAGTAACTAATCCTTCTACTAATTAAGAACTCCTTAATTACCTTTAACAACACACCGCTAATATTGTCGCTAGTGTAGTTACTAAGCACCCTTCTAAAGGCTAGCAACTCTGTCCTTCTCTTGCCCTCTAAATCGATGAAATGCGCATTCACGCTAATAATTAAGTAGTGATTTAGCGACGTCYACAGATTAAACGACAGGTGGATATCGCTTAGTGCGCTGCTAAGGTCCTCCTTTAACCGTCCCTTACGCTTCTCGAACTCCTCTATTATCCACCCTCGAACCGTCGACGCTACACGAGGCAGGTAGCTAGCGAGGCCCTTGTTTAGATAAACAACCAGCTCTCGGAAGTACACGTTCTTAACTATGCGGAAGGCGATATAGTAATACACAATCTAGCGAATAAGGAGGTCCTTAAAACGTAACAAGCTCTTATTCGTAATTACTATGTATAGTAAGGCAACGTTAACAGCCTTCCGTTCGAACGGCTTCCCTTGCTTGTTAATGCTATACGAATAAAGATGTCTAAGGGGCCCTTAATTACTATTAATCATAAAGAGTTGTTGCTTCTTATGTTCCTTCTTATAGAGGTAGTAGTAATATACGGACTAGCTATCCTTCTTATTCCTTAGCTCTTTACTAAACTGCTATATAGGACTCTTCCGCTTTCGTAGCTCTTTCGTACTCGTAGTAGCTAGCCRCCGTATATATCGTTAGCTATTAATTCGAAACCGGTCCGGTAAAGCTAAGGCCTTATAACCGACGTTCTAAGGGCTAAGGACCACCTTATCGCTTGCTATAGCAGTAGATAAAGTTAGCTAAGTAAATGGCATAATATTAATAACAACAGGGCTCTAAAACTAATGGATTAATAGACTATAGATAAGACGAACATTCACTTAGCTCCTGTTAGAAGCTAGAGTGCACCCCCGTAGCCCTCCGATTAGCTACGGAGCTACTTCCGGTTAGTTACCGGTGCCCTACGCCCTTATACTATACTAACTAACAGGCCTAAGAGTGGCTAACTACACCACTATGTACTAAACCACTAACCACTAACACTAACACGCACTACACTAACAAGCTTACTACTACCCGTTAAGCAAAAGATCCCTAACGAAGATCCGAGAGGTTTTAATTAAGGATTTGACGATGGCGTCTAGCTAGGTTTTTACTCCCGCGGCACGTAATAGAGAGGTACCTAATACGGWAGAGGTATGAATAGGGAAAATGCTCCTATAGCGTTAGGGGATTAATATAGGGAGCATAACGGTCTATAATAGCAGTATAAACTGAACGTAGCAGGACCTTAAGATCCTGACCATTTTGATTCTTAAGCGTAACTTTAATAGCCTAGAAGTATTTCTATAGTGTCGAATGTTAAAGCGTACGTCGACTCCAACTCGTCGGTGGGTTTCTCTACCGTTACGCATCGTTAAGTAGGTGTTTGCTTCTTTACATACATTAGTACGAGACAATTCTAGAACTTATTGCTTTAGCGGTCTAGCTCTGTCGTAGGGCCTAAGGCTGCCATTACTACGGTGTTATAGCAATTTAAGAATTATTAGATGAGGATTTGGAAAATTTCTCTACTAGTTAGAGACGACTATATGGCTACGGCGGACTATTATCACTCGCAGCGTCTTTTAATACGATGTCTACTAGCCGCGACCAACTAGAGCATCGAAGTCGCTCTCTACGGCTGTTACCTCATGTTCTTACTTACGCGAGGCTCTCTTCTATAGCGTGTTTATACGTTTCATAATAATGGAACCTAATAATCTAGGACGCCTAGCCCGACCTTTAACATTGGCTTTACGTTATAA